AGGCCGCCCTGGACCCTCTCTGCTCTGCCTCCCCACACGCTTGCTGCAGCCCAGACCAGAGCTGCAGCCAGGAGGACGCTGCACCCCGGTATCTGACCCCACAGTGAGTGCTGAGACCTTCAGAGAAAAGAAAGGCAGCCCAACCTCGACTTGACCTGGGCTACTTCTTACATCAAACCATAACAGGTTAAATTCAGTTACCAGCGTCCCATCCCCACACAAACATGAAAAGCCAAAACCAAATACTGCAGTTGTGCTTGGGGAGAGACATTCCAGGAACTTGGATTCAGAAAAGAAATGGATGTCTCCAGAAGCCAGTTTTCAGCCCATTGATTACAGCTGAGGGCTGAGCTCATCCCTCTGTAACCACTTGATGGTTGTCTTGTCATTTTACTAATTGAAAACAAGTTAGTCTGTGATTCATTCTAAAGGTCCCTTCAGATAAAATACAAGAAAAAAGAAAATTTGTATGCAGTGGTAAATGCAGAGACTCTTCGCTGCCACCGATGAAGAAAATCAGGAGGGTGTGTGGCCCCAGACCTGAAAACCTCAGATGCAGCATCCCATCTTTGGCTCTGGGAGCACTGTGGAAGAGGAAGACCAAAAGGACTAGGAAGGGAAGGGGACAAAGGGCTAAGACTGGGGTGGCGGCGCAAGCCTTTAATCCCACCACTCGGCCGGCAGATCTCTGTGAGTTCAAGGTCAGCCTGGTCTATAAGAGCTAGTTCCAGCCTCCAAAGCCACAGAGACCCCATCTCAGGGAAAACAAACAAACAACCCCCCTCCCCAAAAAAGTAAAAATTTGCTTCCTGTTGCGTCAAAGATAAGTTCTGCTACTCTGGAATTTTTAGTTCCAGAGAGCAGAGCATACCTCCCAAGAGCTGAAATAAACATTTTATTGAAGTGGAAGATAAGACCTCCCCTGGGCACTTTGGGCTTCTGATGCCATTAATCCTAAAGATTAAGAAAGGAACAACCATGAAATATAACTTTACTCTTTGTGAATATTTGTTAATGTCATTGGATTAATAATGAAGATGAATGTGCAAGAAACGGGGACCCAAAGATGGACACACATGGAGGGCCCGGGAACGGAAAATAGTTAGTTTCTCCAGGGTAAACTCTGAGGGTTATAGAAGGGAGGGAAAGGCGGACGGGAACATGATGGATCTAGAAGGCTGGGTTGGGTGATGGATGCCGAGGGAGAGCAATCAAACAGATATCCTGATAGAGGGAGTTATTATGGGGTTATGGAGAAACCTGGTGATAGAGAAATTCTCAGGAGTCCACAAGCTTGACCCCATCCAACATTCCTAGCAACAGTGAAGAGGATATATGAATTGGCCTTCCCCTTAATCAGATTATGACTACCCTAAATGTCTTGATAGAACTTTGATCCAATAACTGATGGAACAGATGTGGAGATCGAAAGCCAAGTACTGGACTGAGCTCCTGAAGTTAAATTGAAGAGAGCAAGGAGAGATCATCTGAAAAAGGGGGATCAAGAGCATGATGGGGAAAAAATGACAGAGACAGCTGACCCAAGCTACGGGAGCTCAAAGACTGTTGATTGAGCACTGGTGGACCTGCATGGAAATGAATTAGGCCCTCTGGATGTGAGTGATAGATTGTGGTTTGGTCTGTTGGGGTTGGGCTGTTAGTGAGATCAGTACTTGAGGTTATTTGGGAGCAGCCGATAAGACCCAAAGAAACTGCCTATAACAACTAAAAACTCCTAGCAATTTTAGGAGGGGTGACTGAGCCACATTACCCCAGGGAAATTGGATTGCTTCTACACAATTCAGTAAGAAGGATCATGTCTGCAGTGCAGGAGATCCTTTAGGGTGTATCTTAGTGCTAACATATCCTGTGATTAAAATCAGTGGGAAAGTACAACAGCCTAATCCAGGAAGGTTGATTGTTGGGGTCCACAGAGATGGCTCCATTTTATCTTGACTGAAGGTCAGAGAGTTCAAAAGTGTCCTCACTCAGGATAAAGTCATAAGACCTAAAGGTCTAAGGCATGACACTGTAAGATGTTTAATCTTGGTCCTGGATGTCTAGTCTTATCTAAACAGACTTGGTCTGAGGTGCGGTTACTCTTGACTCTCAAGTTCAGATCACAAAAAATTCAGTATAAGGTGTGGTTACCAAATGTTTGGATAATCAAGGAAGAAAGTTTGTTTGTTTCTTGTACATGACAAAGAAGTCTTTTGCCATGTTCTGATTTTTGGTTGGGGTATTTAACAATGTTAAAGAATAAACTTGGGGCATCCAGTATTCACTGGATTGCACTTCTGACTCTATCCTGAGTTTCTGTCTTTTACTTAGTAGTGTGTCTTTACCTGCTGTTTCTCAATTCACACTCCCTTCATAGGTAAAAAACTGGGTGGAAGGCTGAACCCGACTAAAACTCCACAAAGGCAGGTTAAAATAGAAGATAAAGGCACAAACCATTCAGGAATCTGTGCAGAGCGGGTCCAGGGCGGCCTGACAGCTGAACTGTGTGCAAGGCAGCGGGAGACGCAGGGGGAGGGACAGGTCAGTGGGGCGGGGACACTGCAGCGGAAAGAGGATCTGGAAAGATGTGGTACGTTGGCTGGGTTTATGGAAGACTGGGAGGGTTTAGAGCAGTGACGTAACCGGACGCTGGGACAGAAAGTGAGCGCCTGGAAGATGGAGATGAACGGAGGCTGAGAGGAACAAGTTCCCGTTCCCTGTTGCTTAGTGTCCTGCACAGTGGGAACCAGGAGCAGCAGACCCGGGGGCGGGGGACACGGCGGGGAGGGG